GAGCCCACAAGCCTCGAACCAGCTATGGACGCAAATCGATCACATTGCGATAATTCACCGGTGGATAGGCGGCGTACAGAACTGTCACGCCATTCGGAGCACATGTGTAGACACCGACCATGCACTTGTATGTGCTGAACTGCAGATGCTCTTTGGCGGACGCCCACGACGACCTCGTGACCGCATTGACACTAGCCAACTGACAAAGCCAGCTGTTCTGAAGGCATATCAAAGTACGTTGTCATACGAGTTGAATAAACGCTCCCTGGATGCATTTAGAGCTTACTGGTCCCATATTCACCAGACCTTACTAGCAGCAGAAAAATCCTCATGTGATAAGTCTAATTGTCAACATGGACACTGGATCTCTTCACAGTCTCTGGAACTTATCGATGTTCGCCGGCATATTCCGACTAGAATCGAACGCAATGAAACTCGCAAAGAGCTCCGGGCAATACTCTGTGCTAGTCTGAAGAGAGACCGCGAATCCTGGTGGTCTCATCGTGCAGCAGACATGGAAATGTCCGCTGCCCTTGGTAACCATCGTAAGTTATTCCGTCTGATAGGAGAAACGGGCAGCAGCAGACCTGGTGTTAGTGAAGCTATACGTGACGAGAGTTGACAGCCTATCCATAACTTGTCAAAAGCTTGGAGCATTGGGATGAGCACTTTGAAAGACAGTTTAACCGGCCGGAATTGTTAGATTTCTCGCCGGACACAGATCGCCCCGCTCCGTGGGCTGTCCCTTTCGATACACCCTCTCGCTCAGAATTCGAACGTGAGATCGGACTGCTGAAGTTAAACAAAGCCGCAGGACCAGATGATCTACCTCCAGGCTTCTTCGAAATTGGGGGACCTCCTCTTGTGGATGATATACACGAGTTACTAGTGACACTGTGGGAGCAGGAAACTGTCCCAACGGAGAGGAACCGCTCTGTCATAGTCCCAATTTTCAAGGACGGCTCACGATCGGAATGCGGCAGCCATAGAGGAATCAGTCTGATCTCCATCGCCTCCAAATTGCTTGCCTCTGTCATCCTTCACAGACTGATTGACACTCGTCATAGCCAGATTCGTGAAGATCAAGCCGGGTTTCGTCGAGGTCGTGGCTGCATTGACCACATCTTCACCTTGCGTCAGTTGTTGGAGCACCGTCACATATATTGGCGGCCCACCGTTGTCGTGTTCCTCGATATCAAAGGTGCCTTCGGTCCGGTTGATCGATGTGCCCTTTGGAATTGTCTACTCAGGAAAGGTGCGCCCGAGAAATATGTAAATATTATCCGATCATTATACTCGCGTAGCTCAGGCAGAGTGAGGACTTACGGCAAGCAGGCGCCGCTCTTCAATATCTCCAGCGGTGTGAGACAAGGATGCCCGCCGTCCCCTTTCCTCTTAAACTTCGCTGTTGATGAAGTCATGGAAATCGCGTTCACAGGACATGACATAGAAGGTGTGGATCTGCTCCCAGGAGAACGACTCATTGACTTGGAGTATGCAGACGACATTGCCCTAATCTGCGACAGTTCAAACGTACCAAGCGGCACTGAAAAGATTAGCACTGGTTGTCCGTCGCTTCGGGCTTTGCTGCACACCCTCGAAGTGGAAAGCTTTCCTCTGATTGACCTGAATCGCCTCCTACGCTGACCCTTGGTGGGAATCAGCTAGAAGTCGTACAAAAATTCAACAACCTTAAATGTTGTATCAGCGCCAGTGGGATTGAAGATGAGATCAGAAACCGTATAGCAAAAGTTAGAGGCGCTTTTGCTAAGCCACGCCACTTATGGTGCCGGCGCGACATCACTCGCGCCCTGAAGGGTAGAGTGTACAATGCAGCGGTAGGTTAGGCCCTACTGTACGGTTGTGAAATCTGGCCCCTTAGATCTACGTAAAGAGGCTAGTTAGGTTCGACCACCGGTGCCTTCGCAATTTAGCTCACAAGGGGTGGGAACACCGAGTAAGCAACGAGCAGGTTCGATGCCTTGTTTACGGTACAGGAAAAGAAACTGAACCGCTCAGCACTGTTATTTCACGTACCAGGCTCCGATGGCTCGACCACGTGTTACGCATGGCAGTCCACCGGTTCCCTCGAAGTGCATTGTTTGCGCTCCGGGGATATGGATAGAAGAAGAGAAGGGGTGGCCAAGCGATGACTTGGTCGAGAGGAATGAAGACCCTCACGTCGGAGCTGGCCTCGGTTGGAGAATCTCAGCTCCCTGGTTGGGGTCCGAAAGACGATGAACACGTTTGGCTGGATATACTTGTTGATATAGCCAGGAACCGACCACAATGGTGTTCGTGCCGTGCGTTTCTTTGTCCCAACTTATCCCTATTAGCCTCCCCGTTCAACCACGATCTCACTTCTTGGCTTAAGATAATTGTACATGATACTTTTTTTGGTGCACAGTAACCGGCTGGTAACTCCGGAACGATGCCCATCCGTTACCGGTGGCTCAGATGACTTGCACCTGTTGCATATTTTTCTCCTTTTTTCTTCTATGTAAGGTGGCACAGTAGCTGAGGTGTTCCCCACCTCTAGCTAAAGTGTATAATGATGATGATGATATACTCACGTTCTCCTTGTGCGAGATTTCAACTCGACGGTCTAGAGGTTCTGACCTCCTGGTCGTTTTTTCGAATAGATCTGTGAGAACCTAGAAGATTTCCAGCTTCTACTGTTGTATACAGAAATTAGATGGCTCTCCAAGGGCAAAGGTTCACATAAATAGCTCGACAAAGGTATTGTTACGAAGTTACTACACCTTTTAATTCGTGACATGCCTTGCAGTTAAAAGCCGACAATAAGTAAATACAATTTTAAATATTAATGATGACCTTGGCGTTATAGCAGACAAATGGATTGATGTTGCAGCACAATGCATGTTATCTTGGGGTTATGAAAATTAAAAAATGAGGTTTATAAGGGAAAGAGGAGTGATACCAACGTTAAGAATTTAGCCATCATAGCATGATACAGATATGGCTACTAAAAACCATAGATTTACGTCTGTTAGTCATTGCAGTTTGCTGAAATTGTGATGATCAAGGGTGGGGGCAGTGAGAAATAGAAAGGTTCAAAAGGAGGTCACGATTGAAAAAGGGTTGTAAATGCGTTGTCTAGACCACCAATTGTTTCTTTTTCAGCTTCTGAGCCACATGATCGGTGACTCTATACTGAACTGGACACATTCATGCCTACTCCAACGACGCTGGAATACGCGAGTTTGTAGAGCTCTGTCCGACCCCATAGAGGTTCATCGTGTCGTTCATGAAGGCTCGGTACTAGAACCCCAGTTATTCCTAGTGTTCATAAACGACCTCGCGCAAGTGCTGACGTCGAACATTCGATAGTTGCGGGTGAGCTCAGGAGTTGGCAAGCACCCAAGCGAGTAGAAGACCACATACTACTGCAAGGTGATCTCGACAGGGCTTACGAGTCGTCGATCCAAAACAAGCTTGAGTTTAACCCTTTCAAGTGCAAAATAATGAGCGTAAAGCGCTAGAGCACCTACAAATATCCACTGGGAGAACACCTGCAGTACGCTTCTCATGAAACGCATCTCGGGTGCTTGCGCAGGAGGAACGCGGATGCTCAAAGCAGGCTGAACACTTGGGCCCACTGCGGAGGGTATGTGGCCGTTTTGATCCTACCATCTTTTGCAAATTTTAAACGTCTACTTGAGGTCATATGTGAAATACCCCACCCACGGATGGCACCCTTAGCAAAAATGTGACACTGCTCTTGAGAAGCCACAACGTAGCGCGACAAAAAGGTTAGGAAATCGCTCTGCCTTCTTTATCAGTTGAGAGTAAAAAGTTTTCAGTGAACAATATTGTCGTCTACGAAGTGACCTCATATTGGTGTATCAGATCCTCAAGCATCCTAACCACCCATGCCGATCCTTAGTGAATCTCAGCCACATCACTTCACTGAGAGGCCATCATATAAAGTTGGCGACACAGTGTAGCTTGTTGGAATGTTACAGTCACATTTTCCGATTTAGTGTATTCCAGCCGTGAAACTTACTTCCGCATTCTGTCTTCTCCCCTTCTAGGTTATGCGAATTCAAAACTCGACTTGATGATGCGTAACCCCACCTGCAGTACATAATTTACCTCAGTTACTTGGACACAGGACAAAATAACCCAACATGTGTACACGTGAAAATCGCGGTAAGTCCGCCGCTACGCGTCTTTTTGGATGCATCCATTCTTGGTCTCACTCTTTACCTACGGAAAACTGTCAAGCGTCTACTTTTTATCCGTTATAAATTCATTGTTCCCATTTCAAAACATTGAGCTAAGTGTGCACCGTGTCTAACACCATATCTTTTCGTTATCATTGCTCTTCATAAACCAGCGCGATCCCTGCTCATTTGAGCGGTATTCATCCAGCTGCCAAACAAGCTAGCAGAGCGCCTAAATATGATCTACATGCCGGCAGCTTAACTCTAGATTTGCACACATATCCACAATATTCGAATTTGAGTAATGATTACATTCTTGATTACATCTTGCGCAGTACTACATCTATTTCTCTGGCTGCCGTTGAGGGCGGGGCAGTAACAAGAAGGGCAGCGTCAGATATCCATTCATCTAATACGCCTCCCGATGCTTTAAGAGTTCATTTTATGCTATGATTAAACCAGTTTTATTATATTTTTCAAAGATTTAGCTGTACACTACATTAACTGAAATTATGAGTTTTCAAGCTACAAGCATTACACAGGGACAACACGTGCATGAGGTTATTATCAGCGCCAGCTCTGATAACCATCTGCGACATTAACTGCGCATTTGGAGTTACACGATGATTCCACTCGCATCCGGTCAGTAGAGGTGAATATCGTTGGAGTAGACACAAGTTAGTGCAAGATCAGCGGCATGATATGAATACCGTGAGAATTCTAAGCAACTGAATTTGTACCCAATGGGTCCAACCAAGACGTCGAAGCTACTGAGGTTGATCTGATCGACGAGTTAGCAGATAACAGAAGTGAGAAAATAAGCTTTTTTCAAACAAACATTTTGGCACAATAGGGTTCACTGACACATAATGAGTGCCCGCAACGCTTGAGCAAATTAACAACTCCATGTGGCCGATGGAAATTAGAAAAGAGCAAAGTGTATCACAGAAGTTCGTGGCCTTGGAGCATTTTATCGTCATTTAGGCCGAAAATGGGGGGTGACTTCTGATTGTTCTGTCGTGCACACTTCATGTCGACGCAAATGCTTGGTAAGATGGTCACTCCTGCTAAATCGTCGGGGACACCGGGGGCAGATGAAATTTCGTTCGCCAGTGTGTGCCCTTCGATGTCTGGAAAGTTCATCCGATCTGGCGAAACGGCGACCACACATGGGCCACTCACAAACATACGGCTTTTCACCTAGAGAACAAAAAAAAACAAATGGTAAATTAAGCCGGAAGATAACGTCAGCTGAACTTATTTTAAATGATATGCAACGTTCATCAGTGCTGGCTATTTCATGATTTTGATTCAGTTAGACGAAGCAGGTTCTAAAGAGACTGTTTCTCGTGAATAATTCAATTCCGGCCGAATATGCGGTACTAACTTCCACGACGTTCATCGTCCCGTCCTTAGTGTGATTCGATCGGCACGTGAACAGCACATATGTAAACAGGGAGCAGGATCTGTGCTGTATTGATCATGCACGATTCCCCAGATATTTGGGCACCATGGGATGTTTGGTTACTCAAAGACGGTGGTGTTCTTAAACACATGGTCGCAGCCGATTCACTTAGCAAGATAGTTCTCTGAAGTTGTTTATTAAAAAAGGGAGAAATCTTGTAATTGTATTAACGCCTTCTTGCCCATATATAATAAATCCTCGATCCATTTAGAGTCAAACCTGCCTAAAACGATCACTCAAGGGACCGACAAAAAGTGATCGCCTTGGACAGGTGGTCGCTATAGACAGATTCATGCATAGGGACATTATCCAAAGAAAACTTTGGGGATATTTTTGTCTGGTCTCCATAGACAAGTGGTCGCCATGGCAGGTTGGACTGTACTAGTATATGGCGACCCTTTGAATATTATAGATAACATGAGAGAAACATGCATAGGTTTGCCCTTATTCAATTTCGTTATGGGTAAAATCTTGAAGAACACCTTGGAAGACTGCAGAAAATGTGGTGAATTAACGGATTTGCATACAATGCTAATCTCGCAACAATTTGTGACCTCGGAATGCCATCTAAAGAACGCTGTGCATCTTGGTGTCGGGCTCGGAGTTACAAATGTCCTCCGGAGTGTAGGGGTTTTCTACAGAACAGATTAAAAGCTGATTCTGCCCATGCCAGTTCCGAATAGACCACAGGTTCGTTGATCTAACGAGCCAACTTAGTGTTGACAAGTTAACAGAGCATAAGTCTTTGCTCAAGTAGCTATTCCTACTCGCGGAGCTTGTAACGCCGACGCTGTCCCAAATCCCTGCTGGAGCAGCGAGTATGAAAAGCCGGCGGTGCGAGTAGTTTCGCTCCACGTCGCACTATACAACCCATTTCCCCTAGGCTTCTGGCATCGGTATAAGAATCAGACACCTTGTAAGCACTCGCATCCAACGTAGCCAGACCTGGCAATTCCCCAGAGGATAGTAGTCCATGGTTTGCAATTCAAGTGCGACCAAGTCACTGAACCCAACATACGAGAGGCGTTTGAAAAGAAAGCAAACTTTTGAAATAGCGCGATAACCGGCAGTGGGAGCGTGCTGCGGCTACTGTGCGCCTATGGTGGCTTGTTTGGACAACAAACTGCCAATTGCCGCATTTCGCTCTGACTGTTACTTGGCGAGCTACAGACGCTGAAGCGAGCACATACACAAGCTGTTCGTCGGATTAGTGCCAGAGATAATGAAAGAGCTTGAAGAACAACGCGTGTGAGTGCGCGTGAAATTTTGCTACAAACTTGGCAAAACTTTTACAGGGGTATTTCAGTTACGTAGCCAAGCGTACGGGGAGGACTGTACGAGTCACACGCAGTGCTCTGAGTGGCCTAAGTGTTTTAAACACGGTAGAATGTCGGTCGATGGCGATCCCAAGCCGGGACGACCTTACACATCAACAGACGATGGCTGTGGCGAGAGAGTTCTTGCTCTGATCCTTGAAAATCGTCGTTTAACTGTTCGAGAAGTTGCTGAGGACGTGGGCATCAGCGTTGGATCATGCCATCAAATTTTAGCGTGTTTGTGAGATGCTGTGCACAGGAAGAGGCTTGAACTGTGGGAAAATCAGACTTGGATGTCGCATCATGACATTGCGTCAGTTCACGCATCGATTATTGTCCGTAGCTAGCTAGCAAAACACCATAGTCCTGTTGTGTCTCATCCACCGTATTCTCCGGAGCTAGCACCTGCAGACTTTTTCCTGCTTCCCAAACTCAAAACCAAGTTGAAAGGAGGTCGTTTCCAAACCATAGAAGAGATTCAGGACAATGCGACGACAGACCTGCACGCCATCCCAGAAAGTGGGTTCCAGGAGGCTTTCCAAAAATAGAAGCACCGTGGACAACGGTGTATTGCCAGTAGAGGGAGTGTTTAAAATCTTGCGCAATGAAAAATAAAGATGTGATAGCAAAGTTCGGTTGCTTTTTGAATACCCCTCGTATACCTCGTAAGCGACAGTCCTGGATCAAGTTTTACATAGGTGTATGTGCATGCATGTTTCGTGAGGGACTGATGCCACTTTCCCTGTAGCCAGACAAGTGTTAATTTGAACGAATTCAGACAATGATAGGCACACTGCTCTACAGATGTCAAAGGAGTAATCAGGTGCGGGTGTCAGAATGGCAGTCGTTTGGCCGCGATAATGAGAGTGAATATACAGTAGTGATGTGGGATTTATTGAAGGGCTATGAAAATCCCTGTAACGGCCGCAGCAACAAGTAATGAATCATGGAGCTGGATTTCAACTAGCACAAGTGTATGTGGGGTAAGCAGCTGTTAGTATGCTAGACAGCGACGTTATCCGCAGTTCTGCATTACAGTTTACTATGGCCGGCTTACGGGTAAAGATGTCACTTTCAGAAGTCTCATCTAGATTGTTTGATCGGAAGAGGTGATGGGCAGTCCACTATAAAAACTAATATGGCGCAATGGGCACTACAGATATTGTGATAACGGAATCGGTGAAACCATCAAAAGGCGGATTCTAAAGCAATGGATGGAGAATTGAAGCAGTAAGGGAAACTCCGATAATTGGTAGCGACCTTGTGAGATTATTCGTTTTTCGTGCTCTTCTTGGGTTAGGGGTATTGTGTAACCCGATACTGTTGTACGAACTAACTCACACGGCGCAAGAATGGCAACTCCTCGTTCCTGGATCCAAATTCAAAGCGCAGGTTTGAAAGATGAAGTTATACTCCATAGCACTGTTTCGTGATGGGTCAGTTAGAATTCTCCTAATAGATGCTTACTATGATTACAATAAGCCTAGATAAATAAAACGGCATATTGGAAGAGGCACCAACGGAGTTTCGGCTTGTACTAATGACCCAACAAATACCTTCAGGAAACTGCATTCTGTTGGGAATGATATATATATATATGGAAAGTAGGTGTTGGATTGCTAGATGATTCACTCGGAACGCACGGCCATTGCTACAATGTCAGTTCGAAATGTCGTAAGTTCCACAAGACTTTAATAGTTTGATAACCACCAGAAGAAATCACGCAGCTGTTGGCTGGCCTATTAGAAGCTTGTATGTATTCCCAGTGAAGCCGGTTTCGTAGCGACACCACTTGGAATCTGCCCCCATTTTACCGGTCTCCTGCGCGTATGTACTATGTGTATACACTTATAAGCTCAGAGTTTCGCGAAATACCAGCTCAAATCGGCCCGATCTGAGCACCCCGAACATTTACACCAGTTATTTCTCCGTGTTTTGCACACAATTGTTTTATGAGGGCATACGCGAGGCTCCGAAAGTGCACCAGCATCACAGATAAAATGAAGCATAGTGGAGAATTTGCAATTATGAACGCAAATGCCGTGGGCAGCAAAATAAATGGTAACTACAAGATTCCCCCACGAAATACATCCGCCTCATTATTCAGGATAAATTGTTTGTTTCAGCCAGTCTGAATTGCGGCAGCTCAAGCAGGTGTATCGGCACAAGCAACAGCCTGAATGTCGGCCTATCAAGTGCACGGCCGGAATTCGAATCTTGGGCACGCCACTCTTTGCCGCCCCGTTGCCTTAAGGATCAAAATACCTGCCTTGTAATCCGAAGGCACGAGTTCAAGCCTGCGTAGGGACCGGGTGACTCTCGTAGTATCCTTAGCCAACGCACGACTGATGGTGGTTGCGGGGTAGCGAAGGGTCGGTAATGTGTACCGGCCTACTCCTGATGCTTTTCTGCTGATGAAAGATAGGAGTATCTCACGCCGCAGGAAGTCCAACATTTTAAGACGTTTCGAACCCTACACGTGGTCGACGCAACTTTTAGAACTCATGCATCACTGAAGCTGATATATATCGGTACAAAAATGAAAACTAACTTGAGTTTCGTTCAGTTTAGTTGGAACTCCCTGGAATTTTTCTGCGTACACTGGTTCCTATTTGACTTGAGCATGAGGTAGTGCACAGTCGCAGTGTTCTGCTACTGCTGACATGACGCAATAGTGAGCAGCCTGCAGCTGCCAGGGCTTGATGCGGACAGTGGTCAAACAGTAGTCGTCAGTTAGCGTAAAGAATCTAGTCAAAAAGAATGTAATCTAAACCACCGTGCGGTCACCAGTGATCGAACCCACCAAATTAACGGCGGTCGAAAGAACACCCCACTAGTAGGCGAGCCCCAGTTGCCCATAGCTCATATTCCATTTTGTCACCGAATGGGAATTCCAGACGCACACATTCTCTGATACCTTTCGGGTCAAGGTCCAATTATGAAAAAACGGACACAATTCAATGACACTGCACTAATGGACAGTTCCACAGAAATGCTCACTTTCCGCAACTAAAAACCAGCTGCCGCTCCAAAATCTATGCAAAATGTGTGGATTTTACAGAAGGCAGGAACAAAAATAGCACTGAATGATTATTTGAATTCCAGAAACCGTTACTAACCTGTATGGACGCGTATGTGAGCTTTAAGGTGAGAGCTTTTGAAATACGCCTTCATACATCCCACATAGAAACACCGATGAGTTTTGGCACGTTGTCCTTGAGGGGTTCGTAATGACAACGGCTCAAAATGCGCATCCCTGGAAGCCATCGCTGCACCATGAGGGTAGAACTCGTTGATGGGTGATTGTTCCGGTGACGTCGAATGAAAGCTATCCAAACTTGACTGAAATTGACAACATCAGAAGCGGTAACATAGAAAATTTGATTCAAGCGTTTAACACTGAAAAGTAGTACACACTTAACTGTTGTGTGAACGTTAATAGCGGTCAGTTTAAATAGTGGCTCTTCCCAACCACTCCACAGAAATAGACTAACACCAGTAATTCACGGGTAACAAAAAGCACAAATCTATCGACAATTTCAAACTTTTTCAGATCTCTTAGGTTAGTATAAAGACTGTGATACTGTCATCCACATCCCGAGAAGAAATGCGACTAAGCGATATTAAAAAAAGTTGAGTGGTGATCTCATTAGCGAAATTTTTTTGGTTGGATCTCACTTTTCTAGATGATTGCGAGCAATACTCAATCACCGCACTATTTAAAACGCAGCACGACACTTACCGAGGAGGATGAGTTTGGCAGTTCAAAAACGAAGTTCGCGTTTCCACTGTAGGAATGTTTATACATTTGGGTGAAGGTATCACCGGACTCAGTAGGAGCTACCTCCATCCGATTTGTCGAAAAAGGCGTTGATGACTGAGGGTTGAATGAAGCATGGGAGTCCGGTGAGTGACAGAGATCAAAGGTTACGTTGGTGGTTGAAATACCGAGTCCATTGAGCACTCCATCATGTTGAACGCCGGAAAATAAATTGGGCATCACAGGAGCTGGAGGTAGGTTTGTCGGTGGCAATAACAGCGACGCTCGTGGGGAAGATGGGATTTCACAATACTCATGGTAACTCTGCGCTGTGCTACTCACGGACTTAACGTTGTTGTAGGGTTGGCTTTCAGTCCAATTGATGATGTCTCCATTCCGTGGGGATTCACAGGTACAGTTATGCTGGAATGCATTCTAAAGTAATGAAAAACAAATGATGTACAGGAATAGGGTAGAGAACCATAATGACACTGAGGGATATTTGGGAGCTGAAATTTGGCGGTACAGTACAACAGGAATAACATCGTCGACTTTAGTTTAATCTTAGAGAATCTCCATCCGAAAGTAAAGCTCAAGGGCTAATTGGAGCGCAGTTAAGAACTCCAGTGGTGTGAAGTACTTAACGAATGCATTACCTGATATGACATAGTCAGGATTTCAATGTAGTCAAAGAAAGCAGCAAGTAGCGAAGAGCACAGTCGAAAATTTTCGTGTGTATTTACCCTAATAAGCTGGATACTTACGTCGGATTTACTTCTCTCCGGGGGGTAATGAGGTGCCGGTTTGAGATTGTTGACAGGACTCCTCCTGACGCGATGCAACTTAAACTTCATGTTTCGAAGCAATAATCTTTCTGCCGGTATCCGGAGGTCTTCCATGATGGGCTCGAGGACATTGCCATAGTTACACGGCTCATCCGAGTGTCTGCTCCGAGGAAAATGCGCGGCTGGTCTTGACAGGGATAAAAGAATTTCCGCTGCCTGAAGAGCTTTTGCCTACGTTGTGTGAAGGGAAATATTTAGATGAATTACTGAAGGCAACGTACTGTGGCATACAGGAGGTATGAAGCACATTAGAAGTGGTTCTCCTTATACAGTTACTATGGACCTTGGTTATTTCAACTATAATAAGCAGTCAATAGAGAGCTTAGTGACTGTCACACCGTACTTGTTGTCAGGCAAGAGAGCTACTCTTTGCATAAACCCAACCAGTGTAGCATCGCAGAATGCAATAGGAGAATGAAACCTGGTTTCTGCCAGGAAAAGGAACCACGTACCTCTTCCAAGTTTCTTTCTTCCAAGCACGGATTCAGCCCTACCATGTGAAGGCAAGTGACGCTCATGCTCCGACGCAATGCAACAGTCAACTAAGGGAGTGGCAGAACGGCTTATCCGTTACAACCTATCTGCTTATATAGATATTGGCTGCCATGCTTGAAGTGTAGGCTTCCGTAACCAATTACGCAGGTCAGTGACCAAGGCCAAAAGCCAATCAGCTGTTCGCCAGCTGCCGATCACGCCCCGTGAGTGTGACAAAGCAACGTAGAGGCAGGATGACCTTCAAGGCCATGCCAATCGTACACGCACTGATAGGCGGATTGGAAGGGTGTGTCGGGCGACTGCACGCTTTACCGTCGTGATCACTTCAATCTGCGACTTTCTTAAAAATTTAGTCTGCTAACGACGAATGCTGATCAGTCTGAGGAAAGTTACAATTCAGAATTTAGAGCAGTTCTCCTCGTTTGCTAGAGTACTTATCCACAAGCCATACCAGATCACGCGAAAATGATCTATCACTAAGGTGGAGTTGCTAGGTTACCATAGAAATGTAGGGTTTTATCTCGGTTGATCGATAATTTCTAGCCAAGACCTGCGTGTGTTGTCTACTGCCCACTAGTTGTAGGAGCGGCCAGAGTTGTCTCAGCATCCGCAATAACTGAGGGATGATTCACGATCCGTCCCTTTATTTGCACGGTGAAATATACATCCTTGATGATAATAATAATAATGATAATACTATTATTACATGCCAAAGGATCATATGAATAACATAGTTGGTAAACTTCTTGTTACCTGAATTATAGGTAGACTTTTCTGTTTTAATGCAATATTTTGTGTGGTGCAGTCAGCAAATTAAAAAGTTTCCCAACAATGCCATTCACCAAGCTCAGAACAGATGCCACAGATTGTGAGATAGAAATCCGTAATATCATCAATTTCGTCGCTGAGTTCCCTTGCTGTGCATCCACGTTTGGGGTTTGCTGGCTACTTGAAGTTTGTAGTTCGAACCCACGTGTTAGTACAAGTAAACAGTTTTACTCCCCAATCCGCAGCTTACTTCCTTCTCAGCCCGTTATCGTTTTCATCAAGTAAGCCATACAATGAACAATGAATTTATACGGGTTAAGAAGCGCTGCTTTACAAGTCCCGTTGGATAGTTGGTAGGGATATCAACATAACAATAATGATAATAAGGATAGTAAAATAGTTAATACTTTGACTATGAAAATAAGGACTTATCGTTTGCTTCGCTGTAGTCCTGCGATCCTCTTAGATTCACAGCACCCACAGTTAACAACAAATAATTCCATAGTAAACTCTAGGTGTAGGATGGAGACGTAGTGTTAAGTAACAAAGTGTAAGTGGATGAGTGCATCGTCCAATGGTATCTCGTTGGATGAGCACCAGCTGCTTACGTGACAGCCCAAGAGTAAACAGTGAATGTTGAAATATCTGTGGAACCCAGAACAGGCTTCACATTGAGACCACAAACTGCTCTTGCTTTCCCTACCCTAAGAATGAGAAACGGCACTTTACTAACATGCTTAATGGGTCTTAGTGCGGGTCCTACCTTGATGACGTGTATCATTTAGACTGGACCAAATTTCGGTACCACAAAAGCGAACTTTCCTAGATTGTGTCCGTTGGCGGTTCGATGCCGCAGCAGAGGTTTCAGCTTTAACCGTGCTCTTGGTTCATGTTTTAATGTTACAGTGACGTCATGATTAATTGGAAAGATGGAATAATGCATTATGACGCTTAAAAAGCAAATGCTTAACATGTCCCGTTGGTTGGTAGTGGAAGGCACTGCAAATTCGAATATTATATCATTGGGCCAAATAAAGTGCGCATCGAGGAATCGATAGAGTAATGGCATGAAGAAATAGGACCTTCGGAGTGGAATGGTATCATGCTAAACGGAATAACAAGCGGTTATTGTTAATATGCATGGCAAATAACGATCGGATTGCTCATTCTTTTACACACCTGTACGTGTCTAACTGTGAATTATAATTCTATAAGCTAGTTAGCCTGAATATATCCAGAATATGCGTTCATATAACAAAGTGTTGGATGCTCGATATTTTTCGAAAGTGACCAATGTGGGGCATAAACCATTGACTTTGTGAGGGAATTCCAGGGTCGAGAGACCCGGAAGGAGTAATAAGTTCCTCGACAGTCTCGACGACTGTATTGTTTATTCATTTTCAGTCTATTGCATCGGACGTTGGTGTTCGGGCTAAATTTCTAAAGATGGCAGCCTGCATGACTGGGGTCGCGTAGTATTTGTTATTCCATGGTAAGGTCTGCACGTGGCCGTGGCTAGCGTCTACTGAACACTCCGATTGCCTTCAGTGTTTCCTGAATCGGAAGGTAGCGCATTCGCTTGAGCAATTTCGTTGCTCGACGTTGGGGAATTTCGAGGGCTGCAAGGTCACACTTTAGTCAAGGAGGCCAAAGATGGATTGTGTGTTCTACATGGGAACGTCAGTAGGCATTGAGCATCAGAGGGAAGATAGATGAATCCAAACTCCTGAGTGCCATCCGCAGGAGACCAACGTACCGATTACGTCTGACTGCCTGGGACAACCAAGGTCGTCCTGTAACAGCGCATCGAGGTCACGTCCCTGAGAGCTTGTCTTCAGATCGTGCGCCTGAAGTTTATAGATATAGACGTATCTACAGCGGATGTGAACAACGAAGCATTTGTCCACATTGAATGATGATGCTTTCTTCACCGACCAGACAGTGCGCGAAATCAAAAGTGGGCCAGTTAAAATGGTTTCCAATATACGTAACAAAGCCAATTTCATTGACATTGGATAAAGTCAGTTACAAAATCTTGTGCATAGTCAACAAGGCGGATAAGTGAAAGCAACGTAGCAAATGGTCATTCGGGAGAAGAGGACGAAGATGTAGTAAGCCAGCAGTAGACATGTATTTGAAGTAACGATTTGTACTCCGAAGCAATGACTCAGTTAAATTTCAACCGCAAATGTCACCTTGGGCAAGAGTAGGTTGAACAAGTGAACTTGTGTTGGGGACGGATTAGAGTTTCGCAGATCCCTTCTCCGAGTGCCATAAACTTCGCCGGAATTACATTCTACACTGATCTACCAGAGTGACCACGAGAGATCTTGAATCTATCCAGTGTAACAGGCTGGACAACATGTATAAACTGCTCAACAAGTTGATTACATACCAAGATGACATCAAACAGAACCCAGCGCTTGTGTAACATCCATCGACAACGTTTAAGCAGTAATATGCGGTAAAAAAATGAATCACTCAAACAGAATGCGAATGTGTTTAGGACTTACATGCTGTTGCACAGCTGAGTAACTATAGTGAGCAGAAAGAAAAAATCCCATGTCGCAACGTAAGAAATGCAGTCTCATTGTTTTCCGGATCACTACGATGACCTTCTTCTAGCAATCCAAAAAGGACAAATATTCCCGGGATGGGTCTGATAGAAAGTGTCAAATTGGAGTAGGTTGATCTGGGAGGTAACATGTAGACAGACAAGAGAATTCTAAGTAAGTGCCTGAGTGAAGTCCATTGGGCCCACCAGTGTTGCTAATTGTTATCTACCGTTTGGTGTTGAGTAGGTTGCATCATCTACAGGTATTTGAAGCTTGCTACTAAGGCAACCAAACGCTGGCTATTCCAGGAAAGACAGGTTGGACAGTTTCCCCTGCTGCCGCAAAGATGGTGCGTTTGGGATGTACCACGCTGCCCATCCCATCCCATTCCAATGCCATAGCGGACCAGTTCCCACTAAGCCGTCCCGGCGCACAGGATGTACTGTGTGCGCATATGCTGAAGGGTTTGTTTGGCCATTGCCACCGTTATTAACTGAGTGGCGAAAGTCGGCGGACGTTGGAGGATTAAATATAATAGGAATCTACTATAAACAAATAAATATATTCCAGAGCAGTAGTAGGGGAGCTGAATGGTATAGGTAGAAATTCGTCACATCTAGACTCACTCAGACCGCCGTCACATGTCCGAAAAAGCACTGTACAGGCGTCTCATCCTTTCGGGAAACGTCAGTAGTGCGCATTCCATTAGACCTTGGTAGGGCTCGAATCCACAACTCGACTGTTGCCAGTCCGTGGTTGAGACCTCTGAGCTACGGTGAGGGACGGTAACAACCATCATGAATTAGTTACTAGATGTGAGGGGGCTACCCTGTCCTCTGCATCTCAGTAACGTGTAAGTCAGTGGATAGTGAACGGCGTTATATCACATGTAGTAACTCATTCATGATGGTCGCTACCGTCCCCCGTTGCTCAGTGGTCTCAACCACTGACTGGCAACAGTAGAGTTGCGGGTTCGATCCCTACCATGGTCCGATGGAATGCGCACTGTTGACGATTCCCGAAAGGAAGAAAAGCGCGTACAGCACTTTTCCGGACATGTGACGGCTGTCTGAATGAGTCTAAATAAATATATGACATATTTCTCGATCTTACACGTCACAGACCGATTTCTTGGCCTGCTCAATTTGTATAACATAATAGAATAGTGGAGGAAGTTTCCCGAGTTTTTCAATGGTCTCAATGGTGGGTTAGCAGTGTTCTATCTTTCAAAGGTAGCAAAGGATGGAGAGTTTGTGAATAAGAATACGTGTGGGTATAGCCAGCAGCTCAACTAAAGTACTACGGCCATCTATGGAGCGGTCTCCTGGGGACCTGCTTCCATGCGGGGTAACCCATCGTAAGGTGTCAGCCAAACCTCCACGTCTCGTCCGGCAGTGTGGCTTGCAACAAATAAGTCCTCCTCAACTTGAATAGAGTTTTTGGTTGCCGTTAAGTGCTAGGCATTCCCGCCATACAGCATATTTCATAATCCAGATGTTTCGAGTCATACACTTTTGTATTCGCCAATGAACGTGTGGAGATGCGCTTTACTTGGGTATCCTGCATAGTTTGGATGTTCTCCGACAGATTGGTCCAATCGTGGCCAACAGTGGCATTACAGAAAGATTAGTAAAAATGAAAAAAGAAGACAGTAACGGTAGATGAACGGCTCATGTCTGACGGTGGTCCGATTCAAATTATACAAAAGGAACACAAAATATAATTGACCACCCGA